AAAAGAGATGTGAATCTGATGATGAGGTGAGTCCTAAAAGTCACTGAGAGAAATATGGGATATAGAGATGAGGTAGGGTGCCTTCTATAGGCTCATGCATCAGAGAAGGTGTACATAACAAGCAAAAAATGGCAAGTAAAATTTGCCTATGGGACAGTAATGCAGTACAATAGGAGAGTCACCTAAGGAAGACAGACAGGATTCAGGAGAAACCAAGGGAGGGCAGACAGCAGAAAATGGGGTGGAAGGACACAGGCTGGACCGTAAAGGAAAGCCTGAAGAAGGAGGTAGTGCTAGAGTCCGAATGAAGGCACTTGAATGTGCAGACCAGCCTGCAAGGCTCAGAGTGGGAAAATAAAAGCAAAAAAGGAATGGACAGTACAGAAAGGAAGGAACATATGCCCTGAAGCTTCAGCATTGTTGCAAGGATGGAAATTTTGGGCCAGGCTCTTTACTACAGATCTGGCAGGGAAGGGAGGGTGGCAGGGATAGGATTTTGGTTGTGGTTTATTGGGGAATAGGAGGGCAAGATTGGAAACAGTGGACTGAGAGTGGGGAAAGGGAGTGAGGGAGGATAAGAGACATGAGCCAGGCTTCAGGCATTGAGAAAAGAACGCTATTGATCTGACCTAGAAGAAGGTTCCATCTCCAGTGCTGGCAATAATATTCAATTTACCCCAAAAGGAAAAAGAGACTAGCTGCCTGGAGGAAAAGCAAAAGTAATTACAAAGAATTTTCAAATCAAAGCAGAAGGCTCTGGAGGGGCTCCTGTCTCTGATAGAAAAAGAAGGGGATTAAGAAAAAGGGATAATAGTTAGCAAACAGAAAGATTAGATTAGGACCAAACATACTGACAGAATGCCTGAGAATCTATCAAGTGGATCATGAGGACTCTGAGGATGGGTGTCTGGGCAAACAATAGCTCTCCTGTGCACACTGGGGTGAGGTAGGTCATAGATGAGGAGTAAACAGGGAGGGGAATGGGGTGGATCCCAGTGGAGAGTGCCCTATCCAGTAGTGTATGAGACCCTATCCAGGGGAAAGAGAAACACTGGAGGAGAGGAGAGGTTGAAAGGAAACATAGGAGGTATCATAACTTCTGTAGAACCTGCTAAATGAAAAGGAAACAGAGAAGTAACTATAGTGGAGCGGGAGAGATGAAAGAAAAAGCAGCCTAAGGGTAGGTAGAGGGGGAAGTGCTGAGATCCTAGAGTGAGGACCTCCAATGGTCACCACTGGAGGAAGGGTGGAGGTAGGAGATGGGAGAGTGAAGTCCAGAGA